GTGTGGGTGCTTGTGTCAAAAGCCTTACCAAAGTCAAAGTACATTACATGCATCACTCTCCTCTCATCCACGTAGCCAGTCATTTCATCATGGAAGGCAATCAAGTTGGTCAAGTATGATGCACCCTTGGTAAATCTGTGATGACTATTTTCATTATCTTCTTGCTTGGAGATGAATTCCAAGAAGATATGTTCCCTGACCTCATGGAATGAGGTGAAGCCTACACTCCCCTGGTCCTTCTTACCATTCTGTAATATGTGAGTCATCAGGAACCTTGAGTGCCACAATTTTTTATAGGTGACATACATACCTTGCTATTGCTGTCTCTTTTAGCACCCGTGGGCGAGTTGTATTGGATTACGTAAAACTTTTCTGTGTAGCCCCTAACATGTTGCCCTGCTGGTGGCTGTCCTGTCCTTGCTAAACCGTTGCTGAACACCCCTAAAAATCATTTTCCAAGAACAGCAGCCTTATTAGTACTACTGAGCTAAATGCAAAATGTTTTCCTCAGTCAGTGGAAAATACCTTACACTTTCCACAGTACAGAGACATTTTACTATTGACCCTGCAAACTAATACCACTGTGCTGCTTTTGTTACTTAGAATACCTAAACATAAGTTCGAAAAAAATCCAGTAAGGCAATACTATTCACAGATACTTGCAGCAAGATCATGGTATAATCTTATCAAGTGACAATAAGAACAGATATCCAAAATCTTGTGAGGAAGTCATGAGTAGTTCACTCTAGCAGGAGTGGCTCACTGCATAGCATTCTCTCCTTGCTGCTGTTGCTGCTGCTACTGCTTCCAAAGTTTGAGTATTGTCTTCGTTTCAATCACTTGAGGAATAATTTCTTGCCTAGTTATATCTAATGATCTCTCAGCGCAGCCACCTCCCTCCAGCCTACAACAAATCATAGATCAAATTATTGGATTTTTGTCTTGATAACCTCTTAGAAATATAAACTCCTTTTTGAAGGACTTCGGTTGAAATATTCAATTTTTTTTAGGTACTGTCCAAGGTAGACAACCCCAGGATAAAAGAATCTATTGAATCTACAGAAGAATCTCAGGCATATTGTAGATTCAGTGAAGTAAGCTTTGACATATGATCCATGTTATCCCTGTTTTTCTTCTGCTCTGTAAATAACCTAAGTTGGCCACAATTCCCTTAGAGCAGGAAAAAAATCCCTTTCCAAGCAGAAATAAATAAGAAAAACATGAATATATGTTAAAAAAGATTTCAACAGGCAGTTGAATTCTCATTTTCATTGGTGTATATTTGAAATTTCTTGCCATAATCTCAGCAGTGGGATATTTATCACTAGCTGTGCTGTTATCACAGGGATGACCATCTGTGGGAGTTGTACTCTGTTCTCTGCTTTGTACATAAACCCCAAAAAACAGTGATCATCTCAAAGAAGAACTGACAGAAGCTACATGCAACCTTGCAGCACCCTCTACTTCACTTCATGTATGCCACGGCATGAGATAAATTGTTTTATGAATGGGACGTTTTAGGCAGAGCTATCTGGTCTGTTTGGTTGACTTTTGCAGAAGTCAGCCCCAGACCATGACCTTTTTAAACCAGATCAGACACGTCATCACGTGAGAACTATTGCCTATGACAAACTGGAAAAATAGACTTTACTCTTGCCTCCTAACCTCCTAGCGCAAGATGTATTCTAGGAGAAGTATAAGTCTTAAGAGGAAGTGGTGATGACTGATGAATAAGGTTATTTATTATTTGTACAGTAGTATCCTCCAGAATCCCCATGAAAAAAATTGCAGGCTTCATGGAGGCCTTATGAAAGAAAATACACGCTAATTCCCCTGACCTTCTGCCCTTTTCAGGATGAGAATATCAGCCCAGAGGTTCTTCCCATGCAAGGACCTTAGAATTCAGTTTCTCAGATTTCTGTTTCTCACATCTTCAGTTGCTCACACCACTTCAGTGTTGAGTTTTTTCCTGTAATAGCTAGAAACATGCTTACTACTAGGACCTGCAATCCTCCTAAGAGTCAAAAATCAGTATGGAACAGAACAGATGAAAATGCACATGGAATTGCAAAAGAAATGGAGTGCCAGCGATGGAAGAGGAACTGCAGGAAAAAAAAGTTTAGGAATGAATAGATTTTTGAATATGTGCATGCAAGTTTGTTTCAGTATATATCTGTGAAATAGTGTAAAATCAGACCTGTCAGTGATGGGGCACCTAAAATCCACATGTCCTAATGAATGATCCAGATCACCCACTTTCTGAGGCTGTATTATCTGACACTGTAGATATCTGAATTCATTAAAATTCTTTATACATCACCTGAAAGTTTTCTTGTGGTTCAGATATGGGAATATCTGCTGTCTCAGAAGTGTATGTTTTGGAAGACAGGAATTCACTTTTAAATTTTAAAAGTTTAAAGTCCAGCCGTCCTATTTCCTGTTTTACAAAAGAGTGGTGGTGGTCCTCAGAAGAGGACAATACTGGCTACCACACATATGCAGGAACTTCTTATTTCTTGTGAGAGAACTAAATCAGGCTGATCAGCCTCTACCCATAGTTATTACTAGTAAATTGAACTTGCAGTTGTTCTCTGTGGTTATGCTCAGAACGGAAGGGAATAGGACAAAATCTAGAACATTAGATTGTAATACTGTCAGTCTTATATCGGTATCAGTAACTTTGTTACCTACGTAGTATATAGCTCCCACTAAGTGATTAAAAGGAAAGTGTCACTTGGTCTTTAATGTCATTATACGTAGATAACAGCAAAAAACACACTGATTAAAAAAAAATCAGTTCTATTACAGTGTTTGTAGTCTTCAATTTCTTAGGGTACTTTAGATTTTTCAGAAGGTTGATTTTTCAGAAGGATGCAATTAGAGTCTAGATGAGGCTCATTCTTGAAAGGGCAGACCTAACTTTATCACTGTAAGAAAAGGAAAGAGCTCTTTCAGAATATGCCTTCTGTATATAATAAGTTTCAGCTTCAAAAAAGGCTTCTGTATGACATCCCATTAAGAAATACTGATGATAAATAGCACAAAAGTGAGCACAGTAGTCAGCAGGTGAAGTTATTATCATATCGGAATAGATAAATTTTGAGCAATAATTAATTGATTTACATTTTGATGATTAAGACTTACTACAAATGAGGAGTAAATTAGCAAACAATAGAGCAGCTTCACTAACCTGTTGTAAACTAAAAATTCACACAGACAGTAGATTGTATAAGGAACAGAAAAAAACATTTTGTGACATCTGTTAGCCTTTGATAAAATCTATGAGCTATCTGCCTTGATCCACTATTTTAATTTGCCCTCTGAATTTAAGGAAATACAATGAATCATTACTTCTGGAAAAGCCATTGGAAGAGTCTTCCTGGGATGAGGAAATCACTAAAAAGTTAAGAAAGTGGGTTCTAGTATGGACATTTGCCCTTGTGACCACAGGGGAGCTTTGATGATCATTTAAAATAATGAAAGACCAAACGAAATTTTTAGAACACACTAGAAAAATGGCAGTAGGCCAGAAGGTCTTGTATTAAATAAAATTATTATTATTTTGCACCTAGGAAGTACCACAGGAGTTTTCTGCTGAATATAAAATAGAAAAAAAAGGAAGCAACAGTCATTAAGCAAAATGAAGAATCAACACCTTTAGTACTGATTATATCTTCAGGCAAAGCTTGTAGAAAAAGCTAAGGAAACTGGGAAAAAGAGCGAGAATGAGAGAGAGAGAGAGAAAAATGGTATCATAGCTGTATCTATATGTGCAACATGCAGTGCAAGGTGACAAATTTAGCTCTAAGACAAGGTGCTACAGCACATTTATGTCTATATTGCTCAGGGCTAAATTTAGAACAGATTGATTGCACCCATGCTGTAAATCACTTGCTTTGGGTTTCTGGGGCTTTTGTGTTCACAGAAGACATAATAGTTACCTCTTGAGCGTTTCTTTCTGTTCAAAATGCTTGAATGCGATGGCTTGAAACATCTAGTAATTTTTATGTGAAGTGTTGCATGCCTTAGGGTGTATTATGAAGGCATGTGTGGATTTTTAAGGGTGCAAAGCTGGTGGAGGGTCGATGGAGCCAAACCTAGTACAGGTTCACCTGTGCATCTATGCTATACATATCTACATAAAAAGATTTTATGTAAACAATTTCCACAGCTACACTGAGTGGATTTGTCTCAGAATGAAATAGTTGGTTTAGTCTAAAAGAAAGCCCCAGAGTTAATCAGTAGTTATGCTGATGCTGGGAGATCAGGACACAGAAATGCGCTGGAGAGCCAATTCATTTGACAGTATAAGCATACTCTGATATCAGATCAGGAGCTAGAAAAAGGGAGGAGTGTATAACTGAAAGAAACATCTGTCTAGTTCAAGAATCAATAGGCATCTCTAGAAAATTTAAACTAGAGTGTGAATTGCTTTCAACATATCAAAGGTGCCTTTAATGTCTGTAATGATATATTTAGATTAGTTTTTTCGTTAGTCCATGTCTAAGTATACATTCACTTTTTTTTAAATCTTTTTTTCTTAAAGAGTGTTTTATTCAAACAAATTAATGATTTTAGGCAGTGGTTGCTGGCTGACTGACCATCTCAGTGGATATAAAAGGTTATATCCATAAAGGAGTAAGTGAAACAGATAGGAATTTGGGATGCTATAGCCCCTCAGAGTCAGTAAGAAGAGCTCTGAAAGAGCTGAACCATTTCTCCGGTAAGCAAGTGGTCTGCCTGCACATTTGTCCTACGTTGCCTGGACAAATTGACCTACTATTTCAAAGTGACCCTTTCTCACCTCATGCATCTATTAAATCAGAAGAAACTGAAAGATCGAAGGATGTAATAACATCATCTATCTTTTACACTACTATATATTACAGAGAAAAAGGGAATTGGGAGGAAAAGACATTTCAGATTAAACATCTTTTTCTCTCATGTTGAATGGAAGGTAGATGTTAGAACTCCTAGGAAATAACTCTGGGCTTTTGCAGGTGCAGGATGACTTCAAGCAAATAAAGAAGGGTTTTTTTGTCTAAGTCCAGTTCTTCTGTTTTGCGGGTGAAAATTACATCTTCAGATTGAGAACATCCATGAACTTGTGCTGCTGGCTGCTTGAGTTATAAAACCAGATATGAAGGGGTAAAAACAATCATCTCTCTCATCCCACCAGCTGATGTTGCCAAACTGTTGGCATATATATTGTGGGAGCAATTTCCACCTCCATAGGAAAGCTACACTGCTGACGTTTTATTTCTTGGTGTACTTCCTTACACTTCCTCAGAAAAATAACAAGGTTTCTTGTACTTCTCATATAAATGTTCTGAGAAACTAAATTAAATTATACTTCTGAAACATGATGAGGTGTTCGGACGATAGCATTGTGCACAAGTATTATTATTATTCTCATCATTATTATCATCTAACTTTAACATTTCTGAAAAAACTTATTAAATAAAGCATTTCAAAACATAGTGTGTCCTTCTTCTTTTGTCCCTCCCAAAGAAAGAAATATTCCCAAAGGTGCCTCTGCATTGCAGGACTGGAAGTTTTTGCGCTCTTAAAGGTAACATCAAATGAACAAATAGAAAGAAATTCTTTTGCCTTCCTTTGACTATTGATCAAAAGGAACAAATGCATTTCAAAATAGATTTTGGAAAGAATAGAGGGGTAACCTGGATTCTGTGACCAGAGTTTCTCTCTCAGAAAAGCACTGTGCAATAACAGAAGCTGTATGCACGTTATAATAAATTAACTATAGGATATTATATATTGTTCCTTAATCTATGAGTTACTATGGATTCAGCTGAGGGAAAGCAGCAAGAAAAATATATTTTCATTAATGTTCATTTAAAGTAATGATTTATGTTAACTGATCATGTGCCACTTGGCATACTGTTAAGTATGTACTCATAATCTAAACAAGTTAATTAGCAGCAATGTCCATGAAAACTGAATTTTGAGTGAATAACAGGAAATATTTGCTGGAAGAGAATTTAGAATGTGGAAAGACTAATATTACATTAAAAGCATTGTTCTAGGAAGTCTATATCCAGATAATAAATGTGCCCCAAGTGTCTTCATAAAAATAAGGAGAAACAGAATGTATATTGACAATAAACTGCTTTGTAAAATCCTAAAAATTAACCACTAACAGCAGTCATAAATTTCATTAAAAAAAAAACAACTAAGAAATCATAAGACACCTGAGGACATTCTATAAAAAAGAAAAGGAGCAACATTAGTTTAAAATAAATTGTTGCAAATTATTCACTCATTCTGTATTCTCAGATACATTTTAAATACAATAGCTCATTCTGTACTCTCATTTTAAATACAATAACACATTCTAAAAGTCACATGTAATGTGATATGCAACATAAAAATGTTATATGAAATATAACATGTTAATGTGTTGTAAGAGACACATATATAATGAGAGCTATCAAAATGAAAACTGGTATGTATTTTTAAGCAAACATCATTCCTCTGTCTCCAAAGTTAAGAAAATATTAAAAAGGTGGAACCAAGCAGAAAATTCAGTGTTATGCATTTAGCAAATCCATTTTCAAGACAGTGTATAAACATTAGCTAGCTAAATATTGTAGGCCAATAATGTTTTGTTAGTCTAGATTCCTCAATAGTAAACAGCAGTGGTCTGTGTGGATATACAAAACCAGGTAGATCAGCTTGAAACATAGTAGTGTGTGGCTTCCAGTCTCTTGTCATTTTGTAGAACAAGCCACTTGTCATAGTAATCATTAGCATATGTATCATTCAAAATACTTATCCTGGAATCAAAAGACTAACTACATTTTGTTTTTCGAGTCTTGATCTTCTGATCACAGATATTGACAGAAGGAGAAATGGCAGGAATTCATAGACCGATGTCTCTCTTAATTTTGTAGCTGAGGAAAATTTTCAAGGTCCACTCTTGTTGCCTATTAGGGGACATTAGCCCTATTTTTCACAGGGAGAAAAAAAGTAAGCTAGCGCTGAGAGCTTTCTATAATTTCCATTCTAAATATATATATGTATATGTATGTATATACATATATAAATATATATGTATATATAAAGGATATATATATAAAGGATATATAGAAAGGATGGAATACCTTAGAACCAGCTTAGGCTCTGATTCAAACCCATGGCAGTTAGTGTCTAGATTTCAATATATATCAATTGGACATCAAGAGCAGGCCTTTAATGAGGTTCAGAGTAATTCACATCAGTAGAAGTAACATCAAAACCTGTCCAACTTTTACTTCTGTCTGTTCTTTAAACAGTAAAAAGTGAGAATCTTTCCAAATCAGCTCAGCTGTCTGTTGAGGCTATCAGATAGCCTAATACCAAACAGATATCAACAAAATGTGGCCCCTTAGAGCATACAAACAGCCATTCAGACTAGGGAACCATCCAGCACGGGAAGCTGTCTCCAGCAGTGGGTGCCGGAGAAAGAATGAGAAGAGACAAGCAGATTTTGTAGTTCCCTGAGTACTTTCCCAGCTCTGACTGTTTTATATTGAGGGGATTTCCTGACCCTGACAT